CGCTGGCCAGGCCTCCAGCTGTCTGTGTTCCAACATGCCACAACCTGACCTGAAGCCAGGTGATGCCAGGGTCCCACCCACAGCTTTCCCAAGGTGGTGAGTCACAGGACAAGTAAGGAAGCTGTATGACCTTTTCCAAATTTTATTTCTGTGCCCTGCAGCCTCTAAGCCCAGTGCTGACCATTACACACAATCTGCGGGCTTCCCTACAGTGGAGGGAGAGGAGAGGAAACAGGGAGAGCAAAAGCTAAAGGTGAGAAAGGCTGAGACTGGCAATAGTTTTGCAGGATGGCCAGTTCCTAAAATGTAAATCCTATCAGGTCGCCCCCTATTTAAATTTTTTATGTTTATTTCTTTAGTTTGAGAGAGAACATAAGCTGGGGAGAGGCAGAGAGGAGTAACAGAATCCCAAGCAGGCTGTGTACCATCAGCACAGAGCCTGATGTGGGGCTCGAACTCACGAACCACAAGATCAAAACCTGAGCAGAGATCAAGAGTTGGACGCTTAACCGAATGAGCTACCCAGGTGCCCCTCATGTCACCCCCTATTTAAAAACCCATCCGGGGCTCTCTCTCAAAAAATAAATAAACATTGAACTTGTTTTTTTTAAAGGAATATCCAACTTTGGCTTAGGTCATGATCTTACAGTTTGTGAGTTCTAGTCCTGTGCAGAATCTGTGCTGACAGCTCAGAGCCTGAAGCCTACTTTAGATTCTGTGTCTCCATCTCTCTCAGTCCCTCCCCGACTCACCCGCCTGTGTCTCTCTCTTTCAAAAAATAAACATTAAAAAAATTTTTTTTAACCCATCCAAGGCAATCAGAAAACCTGCCAGCTCCCTACAACTACCAGGAACAAAAACTACACTTATTCACTGGCCACCAGCCCTGTCTGATGGCACCTGCCCCTCTCCGGGGTGATCTCACCTCTCTTCCCACTAAGAGCTTCCAAGCCACTGGTTCCTGGAACATACTGCTCTCTCTGCCTGGCTCTGATCTTGGCTGGCCTGGCACTTTCTCATTCCTCAAGCCTTAACTCAGATGGTATCTCAAATAAATATGAAAAGGGGGTCCTATCTGCGATCCCCTACCCCAGCTCTCTGTCGATTTTCTTCACAGGGGGTACTTACCAAACTGTGTCACTACTTTATTTATTGCAGTTCATGTTGGTAGGCTGTTCATTGAAACAGAATGGAGAGTGTGTCAACCTTAGCCCATCGTTTATCTAACATGCTGCCACAGTGCCTGGCATGTGGCTGGATTTGATTTTTGCTCAATAGATGAACCCATATTGTTTAGAACAACTCTGTCTGGTGAACACAGGAAGAATTATAAGAGGCAAGGAGAACAATTAAAGGGAAGGAGATCATAGATCACAGTTTTTTAAATAAACTTTTAAAGTTTATTTATTTATTTTGAGAGAAACAGAGCATGAACAGGGGAAGGGCAGAGAGAGAGGGAGAGAGAGAATCCCAAGCAGGCTCTGCAGGGTCAGCGCAGAGCCCAGCATGGGGCTCGAACTCAGGAAACTGTGAGATCATGACCTGAGCTGAAATCAAGAGTAGGAAGCTTAACTGACAAAGCTGTCCAGGTATCCCACATTTTAACTAACACTAATTTAGGTGCCACTAATAACACCATTTTCAAGGATTTTCTGACAATTACACAATTACACTGGTTAAGCAATGAACAAACTTGATTAGACTAATATTTAACATTGATTGCCTAAATTTTACTCACAGGGGGTCTGTGTGCTTTATACTGCGTACACAGTCTCACATGACCTTGACAAAGCAGAGGCCAGGTGGGGCCCAGGGTCAGCAGGCCATTTTTTCCCTCTCTTGTACCCCATCTTCAAGTGTAACAAGCACAGGTTACTGCTGCTGCTCTACATCACGTGTTCTCAACATTAGCTGACATTAGAATCCTTTACAAATAGTAAAAGATCAAGGAGCCAGAATCCCCCAAACCCAAGCTGCATTCCAGCCCAATTACACCAGAATCTCTGGAGGCAATAGTATTTTTTGAAGGCTCCTCAAAAAACACCAATGAGCATCTAAAGCTGAGAACCATTGTTTTAAAGAAAAGTCCAAATACCCTCCGAGAGCAAGTTTCACTTAATTTCCTTATGGTCAGAGAATCTTATTTTTATTTTATAGGTAAAAGAGTTGGGTCTACAAAAGGGAAGCATCCTATGCTTTATCCTATGAATAAATAAACACTAGAGATGCTCATTATTTCCTGAATTTTTGCTTAAATCATTAAATTCCTTTTATTAGATTTTTAGCACTTTTCCAACTCCTAGTGAGGTGTACTACAAATGTCACTTTGCCTCAGAGTATTCAAATAGAAAAGAAAGTATACATACTTGGTGAATAGAATTAACTCTAAAATATGTAAAACCCACCCACCTGATGCACTCAGAAATATGACTGTCTCTATCATTTCACAGAATTCTGAGCAATAGACAAGAACATTTAGCTTCCTGGAGGTAAAAAGAGCCAATGCTATTCAGTTGACTGCAGAAAATGAATGAATGACTACAAAAAAATGTAAAGAAAAACAAACCTGAAATTGACGTGCTTTAAAATAGGACTGAAAAGGTTCCTCCTGGAATTAATCCACTTCAGGTCAAGGAGAAACATACTTGAATTCTGTCTGTACCTTCAGTCACATACACTTCTGCACGTATCTGAATCTACATACCCTACCTAGAAACAGATTTTTACTTCACTAAAGCCCACACCAGTGATGTCTTCACACCAACAGAGAAGGTTATGTTTCTTACAGGATTATGTACCAAATGGTACTGACGTGGAAAAGTTTTTCATGCTGTTCAGTATTTCCAAAAATCTCTATTCCTTGCTAGTTCAAAATAATTTAAGCAGCTAAGCAGTTACTAAAATGCCACCCAAGATTTGTTCAAAATATAATCAATAACCTGTTAACCACAAACCTGAAAACTGCTTCAAACTCTTTCTTATTAAAGAAACTCATGGGGTGCCAGGGTGGCTCAGTCGGTTCAGCGGCTTACTTCAGCTCAGGTTATGATCTCACGGATCATGGGTTCGATCCCTGCGTCGGGCTCTGTGCTGACAGCCAGCTCAGAGACTGCAGCCTGTTTCAGATTCTGTATCTCTCTCTCTGACCTTCCCCTGCTCACACTGTCTCTCTCTCTCTCTCTCTCAGAAATAAGTAAAACATTAAAAAAAATTTTTAAACTCTTGGAGCATATGGGTGGCTTAGTCCACTGAGCATCTGACTCTTGATTTCGGCTAAGGTCATGATCTCATGGGTTCGTGAGTTTGAGTCCCGCATCAGGCTCTGTGATGATGGTGTGGAGCCTGCTTGGGATTTTGTCTCTTCTTCTGTCTGCCGGTCTACCACTTGTTCTCTCCCTCTCTCTCTCAAAATAAATAAACATTGAAAAAAAATTTTTTTTAACTCTTGCAAGTAGAATACACAATCAGAAGGAATGTACATTTATGTTATTTTGTCTGTTATCATAGACATGTGATGCCAAGCCATTTTTTTAAGTTTATTTATTTACTTAGAGAGAGACAGTGTACATAAGCAGGGTAGAGGCAGAGAGAGAATTCTAAGCAGGCTTTGCAGGGTCAGTACAGCGCCCAACGCTAGGCTGGATCTCAAAAAACCATGAGATCATGACCTGAGCCAAAATCAAGAATCAGAAGCTTAACCAACTGAGCTACCCAGGTGCCCCACAAGCCATTTTTATAATCAGTGTTGCCTACAAACTTTCTATATACACCTACACCATATTCTCAGTAGATTACATTTTTGGAAAACTTTTATTCTTGTACCTTTTTTACTGATCTGAAAGACAAACCAGTTTTCCTGGTCTGCCCTTCACAATCTTTTGGTATACTCATGCCACCTGAATGCTGCTTTAGCAGGTAATGCTGGATAAGGGTAAACACTTTTCTCAACATGAAGACAGGACCTCCAAATTCATAAACAAGCAGTATCCTAATATAGCCAGACTTCATGGAGTGCTACTAAGTGTATGCACCCGACTAATACAGCAACAACTTACGTAACTTCAAATTAATTGTTCAAATCAGAACTAACTTGTAAAACATGTTTCCTCCTTTCTAGTCATATATTAAATTCTACTCTGCCCTGTAATAGACCCAAGATGTAATAAATATATTATAAGTGTCTTAGCCTCCCAGCCGAAGTTTTTTCTTTTATCTCTGTGGGTGAGAAAACTTGCAGAGACCAATTCAATGAAAGCAAAACCCACCAGCTTTCTCAGGTAGAGGTGTAGAGTAAAATAATTCATTTGTGGGAAAGAATTCCTATCTGAATGAATGAAAAAATAAAATTGTAATTTTCACAATAAACATTGTAGGGTAAAAACTTCAAGTAGTAATAAATTCAAATTCATTTTTGAGTTTAATTATATAAATGAGTCATTTCTATTACCAAGGAGCTATATTAGGAATGCATTTTATAAGGTTGATTTTATTTTTATCCTAAGGTGTTTTCCATTTGCCTGTAATAAATGGCCAGTCTTCTCAAAATCAAGAAAGCAAAATTCTCCCCAGTTTCTGCATTAACATTAATTTTGAATTAGGGAAGTCCCATTTGATTGGGTTTTACTGTCTATGCACATAAATACAAGGTGAAATAACCATTTAAATAATTGTTAGGGAGACTGAATCAGCTTTCTGTACCCTGTTGAGATCTCCCCACCAGTAAAGGCGGGAGGACTTTGTTGCAACGCTCTCCACTTGTGCATCCATTAGAAGTTACCCACCCCGCCAGCATAATCTGCTGAAATAAGCATTTCGGCTAGTCATCAGGAGATCCCACATCAAGTTAAGGCTCTAAAATGTATACCCTTAAGCAGTGACTACCTTCTGGTGCACTGACCGCTCTCCCAGGAAAATGCGGATGTGTTAGTAACTAGAGCAGCCCTGGACAGAGGATGGGGGAGGGAAGGGAAGGAACGGAGGGTTGACCGGGAGCCACTTACGAGACGTAGGCTGGGTAGCCAAATCCTATCAAGTTGCAGAGGAGAGAAGCTCCATAACCGAACATCAGATACAAAGCCACCAGCCCGATGACACCTGGAGACACGAGGAGAGAAGTGGGTCTTGTGGCACAAGAAGCGCTAAGCCGGACAGCCCCCGCCCACACCGCAAGGCTGGGCCTAGTATAGGCGATCGAGAAAAACAAACCGCCGTAAGGTGGGGCCCGCGCCTTTGCGGGCTTTGCAGTGAGTCTGGAGATACCTGGCAGCCCCTATTTTCTGGCCGTTCCTCGCGCCCTCCCTCCCGCAGGGGTCCCCCGCCGTCCGCGCAGCAGCCCAGGGACCCCGGCTCCCTCGCCTGCCCGCGGCCCTTCCCCTCCCGGGGGGGACACAATTCTCGGTGCTGAGCTCTACGGACAGTCTATTAGGACCGCCCTCTCGCAGGAGGCCCCTGCCACTCCAAGTCCAGCCTGAGCAAGGCCACTGGGACAAGGCGCTCTGCCGCAGGGACAGACAGACACGTCAGCGCCGGCCCTCCCCGCTCCCCGCGCGCACCGCCAGCCGGCCGCGGACACCGGCCAGCGCCGCCCCCCGCCGGCCCGGCCCGGGCGAGGTCTCCAGCCCCTGGCTTTCCCGGGTGGCCCGACGGGCGCCGAGGATGCCTCTCGCCCCCGTCTGTCACCGACACCACCACTTCCGAACCCCCTTCCCGCTCGCTTCCCCAGCAGCTGGTGCAGCAGCTGCTCCCGGGGCCCCGCAGCTGCGGCGACCGCGCACCCACCGAGCGCGATGTATCTCCGGTTCACGCCGGTCTTGGCCTCGAGCTTGGCCAAAAGGTCGGTCATGCAGTTCTTCTCCTTCAGAAACCGGTCGAACCTCTCCCTCACGGCCGCAGACATGGCTAGGGCCTTCGCACCGCCGCCCGCACTGCTCCTAGTGCCTGGTGGCCGCCGAGCGCCGAGACTGGGGCGGGGGCGGGTTGACGCGGCGCGGCCCCTCGCCCCGCCCCGCGCTCCCCACCCGCGCTCCGCCACCAGCGCCACACCCGGCCTGCTCCCCGGCCTGCGCCCCCTGGCAGTGGCGCAGCGGCTCCCGGCGGGGCGACCGTGCCGCGTCTGGCAGCCTTAATCCACCGTTGGTCGAGACCGGTGAGACTCTTGTGAGCTCCTCTGGCAAATCGGGAGAGTGCAAAAGCAGGTGGAAAGGAGGAGGCTGCTCCCGCCCGCGGTGCAGCGGGACTGGCTTCCTGTGCCTGTACTTCTGTGCTAACTCCGCCAAGCCATCTGAATTCTAAAAATTGAAACGTACGAGCGTCCTGACAGAACTCCTTGACGGGGACCTGCTTTTTCCCTCGTTGCGAGAACTCGGCACCGTTTTTCTCAAGTCTTTTTGGAAAGACTCTTGGAGAGACTTAAAACACTCTGCCCTGGGGGACACCCTTTCCAAGAAAGGACTGCATTACGTAAACCTTTTTATGGTGGACTTGAATTTGATTTCATGTCTGATATCCTGGAAACGTTTCCTCCCCCACTCCCCTACCCCCCGCCCCAGGGGAGACAGTAGTCTGCAGTTGCCTACAAGCAAAACACCCTGGAGAAGGTAATTCTAAGACTTAGGGCAGGGCCTCACTTTGTGGCCTTCAGGAGGTCAAGCTCCTGCTCTTCCTCCACCTAAACTTTGGCTCTTGTTATCTCTCACCATATTATATCAGGAAACTCCTTTCGAAATTATTCTTTCTGACTCCTGTGACCTGCTCAACTGGGGTAGAGCTTTCCTCGCTGCTTATTAAGCTTCAGAGCTCCCAGTTACTTACAGACTAGAACTCTGGTTCCTGCCTGAGTACCTAGCACCCACTGGCTCGGCACGCAAACTGGCCCCCTGCGTTTCCTCTTTGTCCTACACAATCCTTCTGCTCTTTCAGACTGACTTAGCTACAGCACTGCCTTCCACTTCTGCTAAAAAAAGAAAAAAGAAAAAGAAAAAAAAAAAAAAAGAAACAAGCTATCTTGCCCACTCCTGGCTTTTTACTTTCCCTTTACTCTAATTCTCCTTCCTCTTTTCTTCCCTAGAAATTCTTAGCTCAGTTATCTCAGTGCTCTCACCACCATCCAGCCACATCAGTGAACGTATTAAATCAAATAAAAAATTAATGGATTATTGTGACAGCCTCTCAAATAATCTGCCCATTTCTGTCTTTCCACCTGCAGCCAAGTCTCGACATGTCAGCCAATTGGATCTTTAAAAAAATTTTTTTGTTTTTAAGTTTACTTGTTATTTTGAGAGAGACACAGAGCATGAGTGGGGCAGGGGCAGAGAGAGTGAGAGAGAATCCCAAGCAGGCTCCATGCCACAAGCACAGGGCTGGATCCAGGGCTCAGTCCCACCAACCCTGAGATCATGACCTGAGCCGAAACCAAGAGTCGGTCACTTAACCCACTGAGCTACCCAGGTGCCCCGCCAATTGGATCTTTTCAAAATGTGGGTCAAATGTGTTCTTTTTTGCTCTGAACCCTCCAGTAGCTTTCCATCTGTCATAGGTGATGTAATTCATGCCTCTCTCTTCTGATTTCATCTACTGCCTGACTCCTTGCTATACCTCAAACAAGCTGAATGCATTTCTTCCTCAGGCCTTTCACCCTTCTTCTAGCTCCATGGTTCTTAACTAGCGGTGATTCTGCCCCACACAGGACATGTGGCAATGTCTGAAGACATCTTTGGTTATCAAATAGATAGATGGTCACAGCTGAGGAAGTGGATGCTGCTAGTATCTGGCGGATAGCGGCCAGGGGTGCTGCTAAAAATCCTACTGTGTACGGGACAGCCCTCCCACAACAAGATTATCCAGGCCTTAGTGTCAATAGTACTGATATGGGGGACACTTCCCTTATCTGGTAAGCTCCAGGTAACCGCTTAACTGTCTCCTCTCACTTTCCAGGTCTTTACTCAAATGGCACCTTGGTGGGGCCTTCTCTGATCCCAAATTGCAACCCCCAATGCTCTCTAGCTCCTGGCTTGCTTTTCTCCATAGCAATGACTGTCTGACATTCTATATGTCGTACGTGTAAAAAAATATATATACATATTTTTTAAAATGACATTGTTTTGATTTATTTAATTCTGGTATAGTTAACAGACAGTGTTATATGAGTTGCAGGTGTACAATGTAGTGATTCAACAGTTCTGTACATTGTTCAGTGTTCATCAGGATAAGTGTACTCTTCAATCCCTTCACCTATTTTACCCATCCCCACACCCCCACCCCTCTGTAACTATCAGTTTGTTCTCTATAATCAAGAGCTCTTTTCCTTTGTTCCTTTGTTTCTTAAATTCTACATATGAGTGAAACCATATGACATTTCCCTTTCTTTGTCTGGTTTACTTCCTTTTTACTCTCTCGATTCATTCACGTTGTTGCAGATGGCAAGTGTACAGGTCACTTTTAGGCAACAGGCTTGAGCAGTGGAAACTTGAGCAAGGCAAAAGGGTCCACAGTGACCACCAGGCAAACGCAAACAGGCTCATTAAGCCATTGGCCCTAACCAACCAATGGGCTGCTTACAACCAGGCACAGTTCCTAAGATGACCAAAAAGGGGAAATTCCATACATTGCCATACTCCCTTACTCCACCCTGTAATGTAGCCTCTCACCATTGCCTCATGGCAGGCAGCCCATGCTTTGCTGTCCTGCCTGCTGCTCTTTGGCAGTGTATTAAGTCAACTTCTAGCACCTTTGTTCTGCCTTGGGTGAATTCTTTCACTGCCTGAGCCACCAACCCCCTCCCAATGGGGGCAGCAAGATTTCCTTCATTTTATTGCTGAATAATATTCCTTTGTATATAAATATATATACACAAAGGAATATAATATTATATATATTTTGTATTTGTATGTATGTGTGTGTGTATACACATATATATCACCTCTTCTTTATCCATTCATCTATTGGTGGACAGTTGGACACTTCCAGAACTTGGCAATTGGAAATAATGCCACAAATACAGGGATGCATGTATCCCTTTGGATTGGTGTTTTGTATTTTTGAGGTAAATACCCAGGAATATGATTATTAGATCATATGGTTATTCTATCTTTAATTTTTTGAGGAGCCTCCAAACTGTTTTCCACAGTGGCTGCACCAGTTTGCATTCCTATTGACAGAGCACGAGGACTGAGGGTTCCTTTTTGTCCTCATCCTTGCCAATGGTGGTTGTTTCTTGCGTGTTTGATTTTAACCATTCTGACAGGTGTGAGGTGGGTGAGATCTCATTGTGTTTTGATTTGTATTTCCCTGATGATGAATGATGTTGAGCATCTTTTCGTGTGCCTGTTTGCCATCTGTACGTCTTCTTTGGAGAAATGTCTCTTCCTATGTTCTACCCATTTTTTCATTGGATCATTTGGTTTTTTGGTGTTGGGTTGTATAAGTTCTCTTTTCTATTTTGGATATTAGCACTTTATGGGATATGTTATTTGCAAATATCTTCACCCATTCTGTAGGTTGTCTTTTAGTTTTGTTGATTGTTTCCTTTGCTGTGCAGAAACTTTATTTTCATGTAGACTCAATAGTGTATTTTTCCTTCTGTTTCCCTTGACTCAAGAAACATATATACATATCTAGAAAAATGTTGCTACAGCCAATGTCAGAGAAATTACATTTCTGTGCTCTCTTTCATAATTTTTATGGTTTTATGTCTCACATTTTGGTATTTAATTCATTTTGAGTTTATTTTTGTGTATGGTGCAAGAAAGTGGTACAGTTTAATTCTTTTGCATGTAGCTGTCAACTTTTCCCAACACCATTTGTTGAAGAGACTATCTTTTCCCAATTGGATATTCTTGCCTCCTTTGTTGAAGAGTAACTGACCATATAAACATGTATTGATTTCTGGGCTTTCTATTCCGTTCTGTTGATCTATGTGTCTATTTTTGTGCCAGTACTACACGGTTTTGATTACTACAGTTTTGTAATATAACTTGAAATCTGGAATTATGATACCACTTTTTTTCAAGATTGTTTTGGCTATTCGGGGTCTTTTGTGGTTCCATACGAATTTTAGGATTCTTTGTTCTAGTTCTGTGAAAAATACTGTTGGTATTTTGATAGGGATTGCATTAAATCTGTAGATTGCTTTGGGGAGTATGGACGTTTTAACAATATTTGTTCTTCCAACCCATGAGCATGAAATGTCTTGCTGTTTGTGTCATCCTCAATTTCTTTCGGTAGTGTTTTATAGTTTTCATAGTGTAGGTCTTTGACCTCAAGTTTATTCTTAGGTATGTTATTATTTTTAGTACAATTGTAAATGGAATTATTTTCTTAATTTCACTTTCTGCTGCTTCAATATTAGTGTTTAGAAATATAATGAATTTCTATGCATTGATATTATATCCTGTGTCCTTACTGAATTCATTACCAGTTCTAGTAGTTTTTTTGGTTGAGTCTTATAGTTTTCTATATGGTATCATGTCATCTGCAAACAGTGAAACTTTTACTTCTTCCTTAACAGTCTGGATATCTTTTATTCCATTTTCTTATCTGACTGCTGTGGCTAGGACTTCCAGTACTATGTTGAATAAAAGTGACCAGAGTGGACATCTTGCCTTATTCCTGATCTTGGGGAAGAAACTCTCAGTTTTTCATCATTGAGGATGATGTTTGCTGCGGGTTTTTAATAAATGGCCTTTATTATATTGGGATTTGTTTCCTCTAAACTTACATTGTTGAGACTTTTTATCAAGAATGGATATTGTACTTTGTCAAATGCATTTTCTGCATTTATTGAAATGATAATATGGTTTTATATTTTTTCTTATTGATATGTTGTATCATGCTGATTGATTAGCTAATATTGAACTGTCCTTACATCCAGGGAACAAATCCCACTTGATCAAGATGAATAATTATTTTTAATGTATTGTTGCATTCAGTTTGTTAATATTATGTTGAGGATTTTTGCATCAGAGATACAGTTCTCTATATGTTA